CCAGTATATTGCATACTGAAAGAACATTCAGGGTTCAAGGTACTTCCGGCGAAATTAAATAGAACTTTAGGGTTGTTTTCGCTAGTGACTATTAACTAATAGATAAGTGCCCACAGAGTTGCCATACAAATCTATTCAGCTAACTAACCTATCTAACCTATTGTGATATCGATAACAATCTCAAATATGAGGCATATTGAGACAACTTAAAGACAAGCACAACTAAAGCCATGTCGACAATTGACGAATTGGACTGCCACAGCTTTAGGGTTGCCATCTTATGAAATGTTCACAGTAGAAAGTTATACTTCGAATTGTTAAAAATCACAACAAAAAATATTAATAATAATATGCTACTTTAAATTGTCCATGATTAGTTAAATGCCCTTTCCCGCTCCCTAATGGCCAATCAAGCCAAACAATTTTATTTCAACAATTATTCGGCTATAATTTTGTGAACTGCAACAACAATGGCAGAGCTTCGAATTGTAAATTATGAACAGCTTTAAATGGAAAGTTTATTTTAAGGTTCATTTGCTGGGCCAAATCGCTGGAAAGTGCATCAAATCTGGGCAAACGGAGATTTTACAGCTAATTCGGTAATGTTTTATTGGTCCAGCTGGAGCATATGCTAACCGCGGGCAACTGGGCAGCAACTGGTGGCCAATGGAGCCACCGTAACTTATTGGGCGAAAGGTTCAGTCCAGCAATTGTTATGCAAATCGAGCAGAGATTGCGGAGGACTTCGACAACAACAGCAACAACAATGGTCAGTGGGTAGAATTGGACAAACAACTGGCAAACAGATCCAAATCGAATTGGCGGCGACTTTAAATTATGGCCGCCATAAAGCCAAACTAGCGACAAACTCGACCATTTCCTGGGCGCCCAAAAAATAAATAAACTGGAATCCGGCAACGCGATTTGCGATCCACAATACACAACCCGCATAATCAATTGTCATTGTCATTAGGTTACAGCTTTTTTTTTGGTTATGGCCAGAGTTTGGCTAATCCCGGCAACCAAATTGCGCCACCTTCACTTTTTGTTTGGCGCTCGAGAGAAACACAAGATTGTTTTTCTTCGATATACCCTGTAAACGTGGGATAAATATAGGGTGTACCAACAACTGTGATAAATCTCAAAAATATCTATAAGCATAGGATATCTCTTAGTCTAGCATGATCTATACTAACATGGCAACAGCTTAAGCTCGGAAGAGAGAGTATATTATCTAGCGGAGGGTATGTCATAGTCGAGCAATATTTCTTAGAGGATTTCAAATTATATTTTCGTGTTTTTTCAAAAACTCAGCTAACGCTAGACTTCTGTTGAGCACAGGGTATATCTTAGTCCATCAACTCACTAGATAGTGTATCGCCTAGTCTATCAAGCTTTACCCCTTCTTGTATTATCCTGTGTCATACTATGTTATTTAAGAGGCACTAATCATTAAAGGGTATCACATGATCAAACAAACTTTCAAGCAGAGGGAATATCGTAGTTACTTCTATTTGTTTTTACTATTTCGGTACAAACGTTCAAACTAGGGCACTGTAAGTCGGTCTCATAACTTACTGAAGCTATAATTATTACAGGGTATCTTGTGATCGAGCCTACTTTCTATCAAAGGGAATTTCTAAACCTATTTTATCTCTTTATACTGTTTTGGTTTTAACATTGAAGGTAGGCAAACTTTAAGCTTTAATTATTACAGGGTATCTGCAGATCGATCAAACTTGTTCAACTTATTTTAAAAGCAATTATCTACAGCCTTAAAAGGTTGAAACAAATATCTCACAGTACGGCTGACAGTATGTATGACATTTTTGCCTAAACCGCGTATAGGGTATCTGCCAGTCAAGCAACTCGCAACACCTATCACCATTTTTGGAGCCTCGGCCGAAACAGAGACATCCTTGTTAAGCTGCGGTACATAGGCGACATGCCACATGCAACATGATTGTCTACGCTTCGCTGCAATTGCAAAAAGAACGAACCGTGGCAAAGATTTCAATTAATATTTGGAAAGTTCGCAGTTAGTTTTACCCAAGGGGCGACGCCCAGGCCCACTCTCCAGTGCGTTGCAGCTTGTTATGGGAGCGAGCAGCCGCTGCAGCAGCAGCAGCAGCTGGCCAGCATCCAGCTGACGACGGAGCTACTCATCCTCCAAGCGAGCCATGAATTCAAATGTATGTATATATATACTAGAGACAGTCGGCCGCTGGCTGACAAATTTTGATGCCCTGTACGCATAGGAAGAAGGGGTATATTGGTTTTGTGCGTAGGCATATAACAGGCAGAAGAAAGTAGATCACAAAATTAACTTTGATTTGATTTGAAGACTTGAACATTCAAATATATAATCTCTATTTTTAAGCTTTAACTGGCCAATCGATAATTATCGATTATCATCGCCCGTTTTATGAGCATAAACTCAACGATGTGTAGATTCTCTTATAGAAAACACACATTCGGAATATTGCACTTTTTGTATAACTCTCGCTTTTAAAAAAGATTTTAACAGGAAAAGGCTTGACGTCGTTGGGAATATCGATAAATATCGATTCTCAGCGCTCGTTTTTTGAACATTGTTTGGGGATTAGAGGAGCTAGAGACACCAAATTTGGTGTGTAGACTCTCTTATAGCGTACACATATTCATATTCACGCCTAAAACTGAATTCCAAGAGGCTTGGCCTTGAGTCCTCGCTGGGCACAGGGTATTCTTTAGTCGGGCACGCTCCCATGAGAGCACTCTTACTTGTGTTGTGCCTTTCCTTTTGCCACTGGCTGCAGTTAAGTGGTAGCCAAAATGAATGCATCCTCCACAGTGACAACTGCTCGACTGCAGCTGCGAGCGGGGGTTGAGCGGGGTTACAGGGAAGTGACTGGCAGGGGGGAGGGGGGGTGATCTGGGGCTGGGGCGGGGGCTGCTGCTGCTGCGTGCCGCCTGCCAAACAAACGACAGAGACAAACGCCTAACAACTTATTGAAAATATGTTTAACCATTTTCGGGCAATTGACATTTCGGCTGCCGTCGAGACCCTCTCCCCCCCCACCGCCCCCTCCTCCACTGCCTACAGCCCCTCCTCCTCCGCACACCCCCAGCCGACAATCGACGACGTGACAAAACAATTGTCGTAAATCAGTGGGCCAAAACGGAGGCGACGCCGAAAGGAAACTGATTGCACTTTTTTGGCCAATGGAGCATTTTGGTTAACAGAGTTCGTTTTGTTGTTGTTGTTGTTAATGTTTTTGTTGTTGTTGTTGTTGTTGCAATTGTTGTTTCGATTTCTTGCCTGCTGTTTACTTTCATTTGGCTCGTGGGTCGAGAGTTTTCCTGCCGCCTGCAAATACCAAAAGCAGCGGGCGGAAAGCTCTATACACACGGTTCATATTAACAGTAGGGGGGGTAAGGGGCAGGGGCAGGGGCAAGGATAGGGGGTTTGTAAAAAAATATCAAGCTGGCAAATTCCATGAGGCGCACTTAAATGGAATGTTCAATTAGCGAGAAAATCAATGAAAATATTATTGAACAACACTTCGATATGCAAGAAAGAGGAATGCAAATTTTTCAGAAATTCCTTTTCAAAAAAACTTTTCCAAGCATTCGAAATTGTAATTCAAATAACTGACAGAGTTTTTGGTTTTAAATTCACGTACAATGGTGGAAAATGTGTGAAAAAAACAACTTAACCTCTTCGGGGGGCAAGTATACATGTTATATACTTGTATACATGTTTATGCCAAGCTAAAAATCGATTCTAGCAACCAAAAAGCACTAGTCGGGTGTTACCGACTAGCAAATACCCTAAGTTTTCTACTAAAACATAACCTCTTCTTGGGGCAAGTATATGTCGCAATAAGTAAGAAAGCTTTGGTCGGGTGTAATCGACTAGCATATACGCTGTTCGTTTTAACAAAACTGGAAATAGCGTGCCCAAGCTTTAGCAAAAAGATATACTTCATCTTTATATACTTTACGAGAAACTACATGTCTCTTAAAAAATAAGAGATTTGCTCAAAAAACAGGATTTCGATATCGATTTCTATCGATTGCTTGAAAACGGTAGAAGTTATCGATTATCGGAAACAAGCTCGTACTGCTTGGGCACTGGGTATAGGTTCAGAATCCGAACAGTTCATACATACGGACAGGCGGATAGACAAACAGACGGAAACGGCTAGATCGACTCGGCTGACCAAGAATAAACTTAATGAATGGGATGGGAGATGCTTTCTTTTCCCTGTTAAAAACATACCCATTATACCCTTTATACTCCTAATTCCCTTTATACCCTTAATTCTCTTTATACCCTTAGTCTCCTTGATACCTTAGTACCGCAAGTTCCCTTTACCCATTCGTCCACTTTATTCTCTTAAGCTCTTGAGATAAATAGAAGTATATTCCAATTTTGAAGTGCGAAAGACAAAAAGACATTCATATTGCGCCCAAACAACATACATGTAAGCCTTTACTATGCTCTGTGAACAGCTATGCTCTCAACAGCGAAGCTTACCCATATTCCCTGTGCCTAGGGGTCTAGGGTATACTTTAGTCAATATTACTTAAGCTGCCTTTTCCCGCATTAAAGAAAAACTCTCGCTTTTCGTGTTATGCAGGCGCAACAATGATAAAAATTTAACCCAAGGCAATGCTCGACTTGATTCTGTTTTCACCAGCTGGAAAAGTGGCTTATATAACACCTACACACACACTCGCACACACACTCGCACACACTCGCACACACACATCACATTATCCAGGCAGCTGTCTGGAGCTGTCATGGTCATGTTCAATCAGTCCAAATGTGGCCAGCCAAGCCCAAAGGCTAAGCGGGGCTCTTCCGTCTTAGATTTGTATGCTGCAAATAACTCGCATAGTTTTTCGCAGGCTTTTCTCATTGCATAATTTGCAGGCCCAGAGCCACGCACACACACACACACACACACACACACACACACACACACACACATATACACATAGATTTTACTCACATATTGTGCAGACAGATAGAAATCCCCCCTCGGAACAAAATAGGCACATAAGACTCCAGTCTTTAGATAACACTCGGAGTTATCTTGGGCAGGCACTGGCAACGGATATTGGAGCGTTGGGGTTGAGGTGGAAGGTCGGGTCTATGGCAATATTCCTTTGAGGGCTTGATTTTAACTTCGCGTTTCATCTTTGGAGGCTGCGGTGTGCCTTCATAACAACAACAACAACATTTACAGCAATTGGCACCCATTCTTTGATATTTTTTTTGATTTTTAATACTTTTCAATTTTTTTTTGTACAGGTAATTTTTACTTTTAATACGTAAAATTTTTTTAAACTCAAATGAAAAAAACTGCAAAAACAAGGCAACATTGTCGAAGGTTTGAGTTTTTGGGAAAAGGGGGGCTTGATTGAGAGCCTCCCCCCTCCCCACCCCCCCCCCCCCCCTCACAGTTCATAGATAAAGTATTTTGTATTTCCCTAGTTGCACAAGCTCTCAGATACTTGTCGGTCTTTTGAATAGGCGGCAACTTTGGCAAGTGGCTGCAGGTTTTTTTCTGTTTTTGGTTTCTTTGTGCGCCATGTGGCACGCACTGACGGAAGACGAAAATATATTATAATATTATATACGAGAAATACGTAAAGTCCAGAGTCATTGCGAATGAAAAGCCGCATGAAATGCGTGTAATTTTTCTGTTCACTTCGTTACACTTTTACCTATGATTAGTATCTCAGCTTTTTTTACTTCTTCTTCTTTTTCTACTTCGGGTTTTTTTTGTGTCTGGCTTGAGGTCTGGCTTATGGCTTGTTATCAACGTTATGTATCTTTGAAGGTTTTCCTTTTCTTTTCTTTGAAAGTTTAATTTATAGTTTTCAAATGAAGAGTGAAAAACAAAAAAAAAACGGCAGCAAAGTGTACAAAAAGTGTTTATTGCTTGGCATAATTGTGAGTGGCAGCAAGAGAAAATTAACTGAAGTTCAAAAGTTGCATAATCCAAACAGATTTTCGAGAAGCACATCACGTATCATATTAAATATGAGTACAATAAATTTATATGAAATTTTCTTTAATTTTAGAAAAATATTTTCTTTACGCTTGAGCAATTCCCACATTATTTTCATTTCACTTTTATCAAATATCTCGCTTTAAAATTGATCAAAAACTAAGTTTAGCTTTACGCATGTTTTGGCAACATTTCCACCTACGCAACATATTTATCAATCAAATGCAAATCGAGCAACGGATTTGTCTATTACATATAGAGCTTAGTTAATTGTTTATTGCAATCAACAATGCTAAAATATCGACGCCCATTCATTTTATTAAATATCTCATAAAATAGTCAGCAGACCTTTTTCTGTAGCCTCATGCTGCTGCCTTACGCATGTTGCGGAAACTTTGACCGCCCTAGAGTATGCTATAAATATGATTGATAACACAAACCAAACTTACCGAGTGTACTGCTAGATGGCGCTGCAACTCCGAATTACAATACAATGTTAATTCCGAAATAGTTGGCGCATTTTCCAATTTATTTTCCATTTCGCGTAGCCAGCGACGCAATTCCTTAGGATCCTCGCACAGACCCTCCGGTCGCTGCGTTTCATCCAGAATCTAGTAAGTGATAATAAATAAAAAAATTTAATTAATACAATATTTCCCAATGTAAATTTAGCCTAGTTCAACATTTTAGTACGAAATGGTGTGCAAATAGGCTAACTGAAGCTACATACACCTAAAAGTATGCATTGACATTTGGTATACATGTTGCAACTACTCAACGCTAGCTGGCGCTTGCTAGTGTACTTACATGCAGTTGGCTTCCCATAAATTTGGACTCGCGTGATGTGGGCTGCGCCTCCTCAATTTCAAACCGCGCCTCTTTACACGTATCCAGCAGGTTTGTGTCCATAATATAATTATAGTTTGTTTGAATGGCCGCCCAGAGGTCATCTTTGCCCGACGAGCCCAGGCCGAGTGTGGCGCTGCTGTGCAGGCTGGTCGAGCTGCTGTGGCTGTGCCCGCTGCCCCAAGAGTAACGGTGCATTTTGTTGTTGCTCCCGCTGTTGTTGCTGTTGCTATTGTTGTTGTTGATGTTGTTGTTGTTGCTGCTGCTGCTGGAGCACTTGTTGCCGCCGCTCTGTGAGTTTTTCTGAAAAAAAAAGCAGAGAAGAGAAAGAGGTGACGGTGGCTGTTAATAAATAAGTAATTTGAGCGCTGACAAATAAGGTAGCGATAATATGCTTAACCATTTTTGGCGCTAAGACCCCGCCCCACCCCCGCCCCCGCCACGAACCGGTTGACAACGCTCCAAATTGCGCGCGTAATTAATTAATGAATTTTTATTTGTGCGAAACGAGATATAAACGTCTAGCGACAATAAAAGAAAATTCCGCATTTACACAGCTTCGCGTAATGCTCAAAAAATGAAATTGAAATCGTAATTTGATTGAATGACAAGCGCCCCATAATTATTTAAATTGAATAACCAGCAGCTGCCCCAGGTGGGGGGGGGACCACGAATGACTCAAATTTCCTGCGAATAAACAGCGCACAGTCAGTTTGTAAAAAATTTAACATGCACTCGCACAATTAGCGCTCGGTTGCGGTAGCGACAGCTGCGAAACGGTTAAGAATCTGAAATCAATCGATAAATCAACAGTTGCATAACGAGAAATATTCGATTAATATGAGAAGCAAGCGGAAATGGAACGTGAGACTGTTTTCGGGCGTTCGTAAATAGACAATAAATTATATAAATTATTATTATTTTGTTGTGTTTTTCCAATTGTTTTTAATTATTTAAATATAATTGGAAATCTGGAATTGTAACTTGTGCAAGCGTTCAATAAATACAGTTGGAGTATTTGACATGTAGATAAACTTGCAGTCAGCTTGAAATACATTGCGATAGACAATGAACTCTGTTTAAGTCGCCTTGCTGTAACTGCAAGGTCCTATGAGCTGAGCTGTTTTACAGCCAACTTTAACATGAAGATAAAATTGCAAGAATTGCAAAAATATTCCATATTTTTTTAAGCTGGTCTATCATAGTTCTTCTCGTTTAATATTCTTAATTAAGAGAACAAAAAAGGAAAACATAATTGGAACTGTTTTCAAACTAAACTTGTACTCCCACTAAAAGGTTCCTTGAGCTGATTTAATTTACAACCCCCTTTTAAATTAAGATTTTAGGGTATAAATTTAACCAGAATCTTTTTCATTTCTGGTAAATTAAATTTATTTATATTTATAGTTTTTTCTTTCCCACAATTTTGAAGCTAGCATAAACGTTATTTGTTTTTATTAATTTATCACGTATGCATTTAATATCACACGTCGAATCGCACGTTTAAGTTGATGCTTTCTTTTAAGCGCTGACTAATTAAGTGGAACGTTGTGGCATGTGAAACACATGTTGCAAATTTACAACCCGTTATATCTCTCTCTCTCTCTCTCTTTCTCTGTGTCATGCTAATAACGAAATTAAAATTTATTAATAATTTATTAAAGCAATTTCCGTTGACGCAGAACCAAGAACCAGATCAAGAATTCATATTCTAACGGCAGCTTGTCATTTAAGAGCCACGGCGACATGGCCATGCATAGAGCAATGCCACCCGGGTCTGCCCCACCCCGCCTGCACCACGCCTCGAGCCAGATCAAGTTGTTGGCGTGCGGAACGCAGAGACATTTTGATGTTAACTCTCAATTGCAAATTTATGCGCTACCCACGGCTCAGACTGTGCACCACAAATATGCATGTTACAGCGCCACCTTCGACAGAACAACCTGCACCACCGGCTGCTGCCCCACCTGGTGCACCACCTTACCTTGAGGCTGTTGTAGGGCCGCTCGAGATGCAGCTTGGCCTGGATGACATCACGGCGCTCCTGCTGCAGCTCGTCCGCTGGCAGCGAGGTCATCGATTGCGATATTTTTATATCGCTGCCGGCACCGCCCAACGCACCAGCCGCACCACCGCCCCCGCCGCCGCCAGCCACGTCCAACAACAACATGTTGTTCAGGCCGGCGGCGCGTCGTTGTTTTCGCAGCGAGCTGCTGCGACTGCTGCCGGCCGATTTGGTGGCATGGGGCATGATGCTCGATTTGGTGGTGCTGCGTGTTGCAGTTGTTGCCGCTTCTGTTGTTGCTGCTGGCATGACAAATGCAACCACATCCTCCAATCTGAGTGTGTTCGTTGTGGTTGTTGTTGTTTTAGTTATGTCAGCGCTTCCGTTGACGCACTTCATCGTGATGGCCGCTTTATCAGTCTCTTGGTTGCAAAATGACGTTTCTGTTGCCATTGCCACGCCCACCGCCTCTGTGGCTTCATGTGGCTGCGCTTGATCAACAGCCGCTGTTTCATTTCGTGTTCCTGTGGCAGCTTCCATAGTGTGGCGCTAATTGTTTTTGGTTCCGATTTCCATGTGTATGTTAATTTAATTAATTTGCTTAAAATCTGCTTTTAGTCGTGTTTCGTTGTGGCTGTTTCTGTTGCTGCTTTCGTGTTGTTGTTGTTGTTGGTGCTGCTGCACTTAAAATGCATAAATTTGCATGTCTGCCGCCATCGCTGGGCGTTCGTTTCGTTTCATGCCAACGTTCCGCTGTGCTGCCTCTGACCTTTTTGGGGCCGCGCGCAGTTCCAGTTCCTGGCGGGTTTTTTAATTCGTTTTCCGTTCGTTTGCTTTTTATGCAAAATACGTTTCTTCGTTATTTTGATAAAAACAAAAAAATCACAATTTAATTGTTAATTTCACTGTAATTAAAAAAACAAAATAAAAGCGTTTAACGCGAATTAGTTGGAAGCAAATCGAAAGGCAACAATTATGCGAAATACACATATATATTACTAATTATTATAATAATGATAATCGTGGCGCATAATGCGAAATGTTGAGCTAATGCTGGAATTGAAGACCAGACGCAGCTGCTTCGTTTTTCGAGGAAGTGAGAGATCAGTGAGCAGAGAGCAATTTTAAATTTATTAATAAATTTAAACACAACTTTTTGTTAGCATTTTACAAGGAAAACATCAAAAACTGTATCACCTACATAAACTCATGAAAATCGCATAGAAGGGCGGTATTTGTTAGTGAGGGAGAGAGTGGGGAGAATATAAGACAAGTCGGATATTAGAGAGAGAAAGAGGGTATTATTTAATGGAGAAATAGAGAATATGAGAGAAAAGGCGATCTAGAGTGCTTGCTTGAGAGAAAGAGTGGGGAGATAAGGAGAGATAGGATAATGTAGTGTAAAAAAGAGAAAGAGGAATAGTGAGGGAGAGATAGGGAAGGATGTAGCAAGAGAGAGACAGAAAGATCGCCATGTAAGGAAGATAGAGAATGATAAAGATATAATGAGAGCGATAGCGGGGCAGACAGAGAGAGAGAGAGAGAGAGGGAGAGAAAGAGATAGAGAGAGAAAAAGAAAGGTGCAAGAGACATAACGAACACTAAGAAAGTGAGACTCAATGAGGGAATATAAGATATAGCAGAAATTAGTAAAAAAAAAAAAAACGAGAATTCTTTAAGATAGAGAATACGAAAAATATCGAATACAAAAAAGCAAACGGGATTGGATGAGCCTCTTTGAGAGGAAAAATGGGAGTAATAAGGTGAGAGAGGGAGAGAGAAAGATCCAGCGAAGAACACCAATGTGGATGTTCGCAAAAGAAAAGAAAGAAAAGGAGGAAATCCTCTCATTGAGGACCCTTTCTGGATGCTGCCGCATATTCTTTTAGCTACCCATAATAATAATTTCAGCTCCCGTGTCACAATATTGCAACATTAAACAAACTTAAATGTGAGCACAAATTAGATTTAGAAAACTGTGTAATATCTGTTGATCAGTAGACAAAAGAACTGCCGCTTTTGGGGCTGCACAGTTGAGCTTTATTATAGAGTATATATCATATCTCTCACATCACACCCACAACAATGGTAGCTGCAGCAACTGTAAATCGCAATTAAAGCCAACTCTAACTGACAACTACATAATTACAGTGGAAGGCCAACGACTCGGACGCATAAAAAAGGCAAGACCGCAAAAATAAACAAACAACAAATTAAAATAATCACGAGTATTACTTAACTCCATAAGAAACAAACAACCGACACACGTTCAGCTGACCAAAAAGGGGGCGTGTGCCAGGAGGGGCGTCAGGCAACGGAGTTGTCTGAGTTGGCACCCAAAATCTTAACAGAAAATAAAAAAAAACATAAACAATGAACACGATTCTAATCGGGAGCAATCAAATTTTCATACGAAATTAGTCGCGAAAACACTTGTGGGCCATATTTGTATGCAAATCGAGCCGCACGGTTAACTGCGGCTAGCCAAAATTGGCTGCAAGCGTTTATTTGGCCACTTAAGATACTATGAAACAGCAGCCAGTTAGTTTTAATAGCAACAACAACAACTACAACTACAACTACAACAACAGGAACTACAATTACGCATACTACAAAGTGGAACTTGCTCGACTTTTGATATACCCTGTAAGGAGTTAGAGGAAAAACTATTCAACAATTTAAAATAAAGTTTAAGGAACGCGTTAAATACAGTAATAGTAATAAACAGAAGAAGCGAGAAAGAGAGAAGAAGGGACACATAAGGAACGGGAGAGAGAGAGAAAGAGGAAGACATAAGGAACGAGACAGTGAGATATAAAGAGGGAAACAGAAGGAACCCGAGAGAAATATATGGAGGGAGATAGAAGGAATGAGAGAGAAAAAGAAGGAGGGAGACAGAAGGAACGAAAGAGAGAGAGAAAGAGGAAGACATAAGGAACGAGACAGTGAGATATAAAGAGGGAAACAGAAGGAACCCGCGAGAGAAATATATGGAGGGAGATAGAAGGAATGAGAGAGAAAAAGAAGGAGGAGACAGAAGGAACGAGAGAGAGAGATAAAGAGGAAGACATAAGGAACGAGACAGTGAGATATAAAGAGGGAAACAGAAGGAACCCGAGAGAAATATATGGAGGGAGATAGAAGGAATGAGAGAGAAAAAGAAGGAGGGAGACAGAAGGAACGAGAGAGAGAGAGAGAGAGAGAGAAAGAGAAAGACATAAGGAACGAGACAGTGAGATATAAAGAGGGAAACAGAAGGAACCCGAGAGAAATATATGGAGGGAGACAGAAGGAATGAGAGAGAAAAAGAAGGAGGAAGACAGAAGGAACGAGAGAGCGGTGGAGAAGGCGAGGAATAGGTGGAAAAGGAGAGTGAGAGACATATTAAGAGAGATATATGTATTTACTAAAAGAGAAACATTAAAAGGAAGAGAAGGATGCTTCTTCAGAAGGGATAGATTTTTATTTGTGAAAGATCTCAGCGTTGCCATACTCTCAAAGATCGTCAGCCGAAGACAGTAATTCAGCTATTTTTAGCTGATTCCCCATTGGAATAAGCTGTTTTTTTGAAACGGCAGTTGGCAACACTGGCAAGAGTTTCCCTATAGATCGAAATAGAGTGAAAGATACCAGATGCCAAGGAATATGGAAAGAATGGAATATATAAAGAAATATATTTATTGTAAGAAAAGGGGGAATTTTGTAGGAAAAATATATATGTGACAAAGAAAAGAGATTAAAGATAAAGAAGACTATTAACAGATAGATATAAATAGAGATGTACAATAAGAGATTTATATAGAAAGTGATAAAATATTCAATTTGAGTATTACTTGTATTACAGACTTGACTTTTCAAGCTTAACTATATTTATATAGTTGAGATACAAATTGATCAGAGCTTTAACAACGATTATAAACAAGATATACCCTGTTCGGGTAAGATAAAAAAGCTGCCTTATAAAACGAAAACTGAAAACAAACGCGGAATGATCCACACAAAAGGTGGGCGGGGGGCGTAAAGTTGTTGGCAATTGTCTGGGCAGCGGGTTGAGTGGGTGTCCGCGACCGCCGTCGGTGGTGCTGCGGCTGCTGGTGCTGCTGCTGGTGGTGGTGGAGGGGCTAGGGGGCGTGCCACGACACACAAATCGACGCTAAAAGCAGTAAATAACGTTTGCCAGCCATTATAATTGTTCGAGCCCAAATAAAAAACACACACACACACAAAACCGAAGACAGGAGTTTTTGGCCCGCGGCTAAGCTCGAGTCCGCGGGCCCAATTTAAAGGGGCCTCTCGACTTGCACTTTTCGCAGTGGTTGTTCATATTCTTGTGGCTCGATTCGTGATTTTTGTGGTTGGTCAAGCGAAAGCGAAACTTTAAGCAGCCAACCTACACGCTGAGAGTGCAATTGGCAAATGAATTGGCCAAGGCAAGCCTAGTGAATATATTTATATGCGCATGCATGTATATTTGTGTGTGTGTGTGTGTGTGTGTGCATTTATGGCTCTGCTCGACACTTCTTGGCCAGGCTTTTAGGCTTCAACACTTTAACAGCTCGCCAAACACTTTGGCTTAGTCACTCAACAAAATAGTCAAGAGCGCGACTTCCCCCCGCCTTACCCTTACTCTCTGCTCCTTCGCCACACAGTAGTTGCTTGAATCGCATGCAAATCGCGCTATTTGCATGACAGGGGTGAGGGGGAGAGGGGGGTGCGACACATCCGTTGCCTATTCACTGGCCTCTTCGCACAGCCCGCTGTCCAGGCCGTGACTCATTGAGAATTAATAATTATAATTTTATAGCCCAAAGTGCTTCTGCAATTTACATGTGTGACGTTATATAAGGTGGCCATTACCTAATCGTATAATTTATATATGCCAGTGCATGGAACAGATCAGGTCGTTATAGAGAATCTACAGATATTGGACTGTGACCAATAATTAAAGGCAGAAATGAATCGATTGAAGAGTGAATTCATTAATATAATATCTGACAGCTTAAATAACTTCATACATCTAACCTATATAGCCATGGTTCGAAACTTCTTACTCCATCTAGATAAATTTGGCACATAGGTCAAAATTTCCCACCCCCATAACTCGGTCAAAACTCAACAGATTTTAACGAGGTTTGGCTTCTTCTTCATGGTTTGGCCTCAAGATCAATTTGGCATCTTAAACTGGCAACATTAATTTTGGTCGAAATTCATGTGAAAATGGGACCCTCAAATATCCTATATACCAATTGGTCAAAATTTCCCACCCCCATAACTCGGCCAAATCTCACCCGATTTTCACGAGATTTGGCTCTTTGTTCATGGCTTGGCCTTTTTATCAATTTGGCATATAAATCTGGTAACATAATTTTTGGTCCAAATTCATGTGAAAACGGTACCCTCAAAAAATCGTACCCTATATAGACATAGTTTAAAATTTCCCACCCCCAGAACTCGGTCAAATATCATCCGATTTTCACAAGGTTTGGCTTTTTGCTCATGGTTTAGCCTCTAAATCATTTTGGCGGTTTAATCTGGCAACATTAATTTTGATTGAAATTCATGTGAAAATGGGACCCTCAAATATCCTATATAGACATAGGTCAAAATTTCCCACCCCCAGAACTCGGTCAACTCTCATCCGATTTTCACGAGGTTTGGCTATTTGTTCATGATTTGGGCTCTAGATCAATTTGGCATCTAAATCTGACAACATCATTCTGGGTCAAAATTCCTGTGATAATGGTACCACCAAATATCCGGGCAAAGCCGGGGTATACCCGCTAGTCAAGATACAAAAGCAAATACATATGCCGAACGAGCTAGATAAGTTAACAATAAACTTATGAGCTTAAATTTATTAATTTAGAGTTCTTTATATACCAGAGAATTAAACAAATTCGTTTTG